GGGCAGAGATAGGAAAATACGGACCGCGCTAAGAAGCAATCAAGGTGGTTTATGTAAATGAACGTTAGAGTGCTGTTTTGAGTTTTTAAAGCCACACTGTGGTTGATCTGTTCGCAAAAACATATTCATCTCTTTGATTCGAGCGACAAGAACACAATTATTTTTCTGTTCGAACATTTCCCGTGCAACACGTCTACCGGCAAGGAAGTTGGTCAACTGAGGAGTCAAAGATGTCTTTAAAAGAAGAACTAACATACACAACACCTTTTGGAGATAACTTTAGATCTGTTAGACGCATAAAAAATGTTCTCGTTGCTGTCATAACTCTCACCTCCTTAATCAAACCTCTCGTCGTTTTCTTCAGGCTGCCGAGCCTCGTTTGAATTAATTTGTCTTCTGATTTCTCTCAGCACAGATTCTCTGTTTTCCCAGATCTTCAAAATCGCTACTGCGGTTACTCCGCCAACAGAAAAGATCAACACGCTATGCAAGAATTGATCGGAGAAAAACATAACTTCTTCCAGCTAGTCTAGTTCTAAAAAATCACATCACAAATTTTGCGTGTAAAATACACTCGGCACTAATCACTCAAATAGACTATCGAGGGGCTGAAACAAAGACTAAGTTCAAAGTACTTTATTTACTGTACGGCTTACAGTGGCTACAGCCAATCAGCTGCAAGGGTTATGCATCTGGGTCGCTACACCTGAAAAACATCATAGTAAAGGAATGTGCTTTTCCACATTTTGTAACTTCGTTTCCACGTGGTCATTGTTATGTTAATACAGTCTGCCGTGGGCAATCAATATTAAAATTTGAACACAATTGTCTGAACTTTGCAACACGCTGTTACAGATCTTTCAAACAATCACTTGACCTCGAGTGAATTCTAGTATGTTGGGCAGAAGTTTAGGACAGTCAGCGGTTCGTGACGCGGGCTCTATTCTGTACATTTCGACCCTACTGAGTCTGCGTAGCTTGGTTGTGAAGCAGTCGGAAAGCTATCAGTGAGCGAAATGCCAAGAATTTTGTTTTATAAATCGCTGAATGATCTCAGTACCGCGGATTTTTACACTGAGAGAAAGAGAAAAAAATCTAGATTCTACGAGATCGAAAGAGTCGTTTCAAAAAGAGTCGGTAAGGAAAAGGTAAGCGAATCCGCTTTGCTCCGAATGTTTGACTGAAATGAATCTCTCTTTCATAACAAATACTCGTTAAACCTTACTCAATCGTTGGTCTAGATTGAATATTTCATCAAGTGGAAGGGCTACTCGAGCCTACAAAACTCCTGGGAGCCAGAAGAGAATTTAAACGCCTTTGCTTTGAGGTGAGATATCATGTGTGATTAACAGCTTTATAATTACACAAAAAACAGGAGGAATCCGTTACATTGGTTTCCTCTGTTGATATTCTGTGCTTGTATGTAATAATTTCCTATTCAATGTAAAAATTGTAATGCTATTTTTTAAGATGAATGTTTTTTCCTTGCCCTTAGGTCATTCAACAACCCAAGTCTCACACAGCAAGAGATTGCTGATGCTAGTGAGGGTCTCCACATTGGTATTTTAGAGCAGTTAAAATCAAAATCTCAATTACCCACTGTCATTGCTTTTAACCACACTTATTTTAACTTTTTGTTTAAAGATAAGGGACGGAAAAGTAACGACAGTGGATAAATCCTCCTTGAAAAACAGAATTTTATAAGATGCCACTTTCCTAATGGGTGGCACAGGCTAATAGATAGTATAGGGGATGGGGTGCAAATTGACTTTCTTGTGAAGGTCAGATTGTTTTTGTCATGGAGTCCAAAGACTCATAGCTTGACAGGGGAGTCAAAAATGAGAGATAAGAGACCCCTGTTCGCAGCGCGATGCTCGCAACCTACCAATAATATCTTCTTTCGCGGATGTGCCGGGTCGAAATTTGGCTATTTCAGCCAATTTACTGTGTTTGTATGGAAGTGCAATATGACTCTTATATGGGATTTGCGTAATTTGTTTGGGATCAAAGACGAAACGAGTGTGAACCTCGAAATTTCGTCCAAAGCAGCAACTCACTAACACGATAGCACACCGATGCTCGCAAGTACGATAATTATTTTCATTTTGTCAAAATTTTTTAATATTAAAACTTTGCTATACAAATCCTTAGAAGCTTCGGACATTTTTAAAGGGCATTAGGAAAACTCTGCGCATGCTTGGCCGCCATGATGTCCTTCATTTCTGCCCATGCCCTTCTGCATAATGAGACACAATGTTTTACAACTTTGCAGAATTTTCACTATATTGATCGACGAGACTATGAAATTATTTGAAGACTGACAAAGCAGCAACCATTACTCAAATATTCATTTATCGTGGTCAGCCGAATCATAGTTTGATATTCATTACAACGACCCGACGGTTCCACAAGAGTACTTTCGACAACAATTAAGGGTTAACAAAAACATCCTTGGTCCGAAATCGGAGAGACAAAATTCAAGATTCAGAAATTGTTTACCTCCAGAAAATGTACTTGCTTTGGGACGGTATCGTTTGGCTCACGGAAATTCATATTCAAGTATTTGGCCGGCTTTTAACGTGGGAAAATCAACCGTTATGGAGGCGGTGCAAAACGTTGTTAAAGGCCTGTATGAACATTAATTTACCAAACGTTGAGGGTGTAATTGATGGCTCGCACGTCAGGAATAAAGGCACAGAACACAGAACTCTTTCATCTGTAACCTTACGGGCCCAAGCTCCAGCTGTGAGATGACCATCTTGCTTATGAGCTTGCATGGGAATATCTACGACCGCTCTTAGGAATAAAAAATACAGTTAAATTCTCAATAAAAAATAGCTCACCTTACTTCCACAGTGCATCGCTTGTCATCTGACCGCTTACTACTTTGAAAAGAACCCATTTTAGCGAGTTATTCATTTCTAGGTTTACTACATAAGAGAAAGCCTCTCTCCCCAGAGGCTTCGGCCGCCTGTGGCTGAATACTTTTATCTGTAACGACAAGCGGCCCAAACTTCGGCTGTGAGATTGTCATCTTGCTAAATAAAAGTCGTGGCGAAATCACGAGTTTGTATGGGAATATTTGCGACCGCTTTTGGGAATAAACAAACACGCTCAAATTCTCAATAAAAATACCTCACCTTACTTCCAAAGTGCATCGCTTGTCATCTGACCGCTTACTATGTTGGAAGAAACCATGCTAGCGAGTTATCCTTTTCTAGGTTTACTACATTAGAGAAGCCCGAGGCTGCGCACTTCATTTCCTAACCTAAAAATGACAGGGCAGCCACAAATCTAACGCAGAATCCAAGCACATGTACTGAAGTTTCATTTCAATTCACTACAAACTGTCCTTTAATTGCTATCTGTTCGCTCTTAAGCTATGCATTAACTATGTAAAAACAGAGATCTTCCATAAACTGAGCAATTTTTAGGCGAATAAATGGCAGTTAAAAGAGGTGATGCAAATTGAAGAGAGAGCCCTTAACGGTCCAAGTAAGAGCCCTTACGGCATGGTTTGATATTCATTACAACGACCCGACGGTTCCACAAGAGTACTTTCGACAACAGTTAAGGTTTAACAAAAACATCCTTGGTCCGAAACCGGAGAGACAAAATTCAAGATTCAGGAATTGTTTACCTCCAGAAAATGTACTTGCTTTGGGACGGTATCGTTTGGCTCACGGAAATTCATATTCAAGTATTTGGCCGGCATTTAACGTGGGAAAATCAACCGTTATGGAGGCGGTGCAAAACGTTATTAAAGGCCTGTATGAACTACGTAACGAACCCAAAATTTTCAGTTACTCTCTCAGAGGTAAATTGATCGATTGCGACGTTTGCAGACCTCATCAATTTACCAAACGTTGTGGGTGCAATTGATGGCTCGCACGTCAGGAATAAAGGCACCTAACGAAAGTGCGATTAACAAGAGAACACAGAACTTTTTCATCTGTAACCATAGGGGCCCAAGCTCCAGCTGTGAGATGATCATCTTGCTAAGTAACAGTCATGGCGAAATTATGAGCTTGTATGGGAATATCTACGACCGCTCTTAGGAATAAAAAATACAGTCGAATTCTCAATAAAAAATAGCTCACCTTACTTCCACAGTGCATCGCTTGTCATCTGCCCGCTTACTACTTTAAAAAGAACTCATTTTAGCGAGTTATTCATTTCTAGGTTTACTTCATAAGGGCGGAGAGAAAAATGAAAGGTCTTTCATCAACGTCTTCCAGCAACGCAGGTTATTTTTCCTCTCGTGAGTCATGGCGAAATTATAAGACTTTGTGTGAGAAAATTTACGACCACTCTTAGGAATGAAAAAAAATCAGTATAGTCAAATTCTCAAAACCTCACCTTACTTCCACAGTGCATCGCTTCTTATCTGACCGCTTATTTTGTTGAAAAGAACCAGTTTTAGCGAGTTATCTATTCTAGGTTAACTACATAAGAGAAACTCAAGGCTGCACACTCCATTCCCGAACGCCCGATCAGGGAAGCGAAAAGTCCAAGCTCAAAATGACAACAAATCCAACGCAGCATCCAAGCACATAAACTGTAGTTCCATTTCAATTCACAACAAACTCAATCTTCCCCGTGAAACCGACGCAAAGCTGCAGTTTGCTTCAAAAATTTCCAGTTTAAACGTTTCTGACGGCCCGCGTACACACTCACCACGACGCCGGCGGGGAAAACCAGCGTGGTAACCCTCTTGGTAACCCTGCCTCCTTTGCAAACTGTGCCTCGCCGGCGACCACCCCGTCACTTGGCATCAATAAATTTTTGCTAGAACCACAGGTGCCACTTAACAGTGTTGTCCCCGGCAAGGCACGGTTTGCAATGAAGAAATGTAAAATGGTTTCCGTGTTAACATAGCCTGACGTAAACACGCGGGAAGTTGGGAGAACACTCGATAAGCTGGAAACCACTCCGCTTCGCGTCGTGGTTTCCTACGCTTATCTCGGGATTTTGAGGGAGATCACGTGGTTTTCACGAAGGGGAATTAGTCGTCGCCAACAGAGTCCAAGCCCCTGCCCCCATCCAGGCTATTACTTATGACTGGACCCTAAAAATAAATACAAGAACAGTTTAGGATTTATAAGTCTACACCGAGTACACTTTGAAAAGACTTCGACAATGAGAAATTTAATCATGCATTAATTGAAAGAATATACTTGAGCAACAATGAACAATGTGATGTGCAATACTGTAACAGCTTTTTAAGCACTGAGTTCGAGGCCCAAATCTGTATTTACATCTTAAACCAGTTCAATAACTAAAATAAATTACGTTCGATAGAATCCTGACGCCTATGTTATTTGTACGAGTCACGATAAAACAGTCTCGGCTTCTGCCTCCCAAGACATATCTTGTTCATGCATGATCACAAAGCTTCGCTGAAATTCTCGGTCTCCGAGAGGATACTGATCGGTAACGTCCGTGACGCATCCTACTCTAGTGATTTTCATTTTGTTACATTGAAGTTGCATGCATGTCAGTGTGTGTGTGTTAAACAGTACAATGTTGCTATAAAGATAAAAGAAAAAAATAATCATTTAAAAAAAAATCTATAGATGATTCTTTAGAAATTAAAAGTGCTGATAAAGTTAAATGGTGGAAAACCCTACTTTTGTTCTTCAAGTCTCAGTCCTTCTGCCCCGGCATGCCTTGCGCATCGAGCGCACAAAATTTTGCCGCTGTAATATTCTTTTCAGTTTTGAACAATTTGTTCAAATCAATAACTTAAAATCACTTTCCTCTTAAGTCATGGAGTAGTATCTGCCGTGCTTTTGTTGTGGTATTTGATCTTTCGATGTAAGTGCCACGAAAAATCCATATTCGCCTCGAGACGGCGAAGGGGAAGAAGAAAGAGAGCCAGTTGAAGATGATCCCATACTTTGTCTTTTTCGACGCATTTTTTCCAGATTTCGGACTCCAGGAAAATCGGGACCAAGTCGAAGCAACCTGGGACGGCTGTAGCTAAATCTGGCGGGATCGCGCTTTCTGTAGGAGCCTTGGTCCTGGTAAAACGCCGAAGAAGTTTCCGATGTGTCATCACTAGGATCGTAACCGAATGAGCTGTCGTCGTTTGGGTAGTCTGGAGGTTGAGCATCGACGATAAGATCTTTGAGACGTATCGATAAGTCCTCGGTACTTCGGGTAGGGCCGTTGAAGTCTTGATGAAAATTAGGCAGAGTGGCGCACGAGAGTCTGTCGTCTTCGATGTCTTCCGAAAATGTGTCAAACTCGTACGCTAATGTTGGAGGTGCAGACTTCGGGCGTTCGGGTCTCTTTCGAGATCCCGAAACGACGGGGTTGTTGAGTACGCACATGCGAGATCTGCGGTGAGGGATTCCGTTCGGTTCGATGTCCACCTTCCACCCGGCAATGTGTGAGCGAGGCTCGCTTGGATCAAAGTGGTGCGTGTATTGTGACACATACATCTCCTTTAGAGAACCACTTCTCGGAGAATGGCTGTGCAAAGGACAAGCACCTTCCAACTGGACCTCTTCTCGTCGAACCTGGACCGCGTCTATCGTGTCCTCGAATACTTCCGGAATGGGTTTCATCTTGACGCGGTATAAGTCCGGTATGGACAGAGTGCGGTTGTTTTGCCCAAACCCTGTGGTACCACACATCCGAAGCTCGATGCGATCTGGAAGGGGCGCCTTGGAGGCTATGAAGTAATTTCCTTCGGAAACTACAGAGATGTACTTTTTGCAAGACGGGCCTTGTGGCTGTGTGAATCCATTCATGAGGTGGGTTTTGTCGCTCTTATAGTCTTTATCCCAAGCCTCTCCTCCCCAGCTGTGGGACAATTCGACACGTTTCTCTCTCTCCCACGGGTAAGATCTTTGTGTATCACCGCGGTTTGCGTAAGCCCGCATATTTACCCTGCAGAAAAGATCACAGAGAAACAAGAACGATATCAAATAAAGGTAGTCTTTAGATTTTTATCAGACAATTGGCAACAAAAGAGAAAAGCAGAGTATTAGAAAACTTAGGCGTGTTACTGCTGTAAAAATGCCAGGAATAATAAGAATTGACATGTTTAAAAAAATGCGCTTGCAATAACCAGACGTTAACAGGGACAGTTCTCTTTACAAGAAGGAGCTAAGTTAACGTTTGGGAGAAAAGAAAAAGCTTAACAAGACTGTTGATTACTTTTTAAGTGGAAAAACGGAATGTAAGCCCTGGGCTTTTTGGAATTTCAAAGAGACAAAAAGAAACGGCATGAAATCATTAAAATTGTAAAAGAAAAACAAAAGAAAAAATTCTCATAATGATAATCCGCCTCAGTCAGCAGCTAACGGTAAGAAGCCTCCAACATTTCAATATTTGTAGAAGCAATCATTTTAGTGTTTTAATAGTGACAATGTGATACACAATTAAATAGTTCCACGAACAGATCAATAATTTTCTCTAGGGTTGCACATGTTACAAGGGCCATGTTGCAAGCTACGTATTATAGGTCACTGGCGGATTGCACAATTACTCAGTAGTATAGGCGTTAACTTTGTCAAAGAAAGGAAAAAAAATGATTTCTCTTTTAAGAGCCATTCTCTTTAGCCACTTCAAATCCATTTTCTTAGTCAGGCTCGAGCAAACATTTTTAAATTTTTACATTCCGTTAAGTACCTCGAAGTAACAGTTATATCTTGACCCCGAAAGCCCATTATCATCGTTCTTTGAAAACGTTGTCAGGTAAGATATTGTTCCTTCCTTCCAAAGTTTACGTATGAATTACGCACAGAGGTTCTCTGCCACAGCAACCTTACACCTTCACAGACAAAGAGTCTAATACTCGCTTGGTTTTTGAAACTACGGTGAGAAAGTTTACAGAGCGACTTTTATGTCAGTTCCCACGCTCTGTGATGCGACACATGCAAATGTAGCCACACCATCATAATAGCAGCTCCAATCTTTTGTCCCACTAGACACAAAGTGATTGTAAATTTGCAGAGGCATGCCAATTGCCCTCCAGAGAGTAGTTGTTAATTTCTAACGTTATTGTTTAACGGACGAGTGACTGCAAGCGGGAAGCTGAAGTTTCCAGAGAGAGCTTGTGTTCTCTGAATGCGAGTCAAACGCACGTACCTAGTGTACATTATAAAATATTGATGTATAATTTTACCTCGAGGCGATAGAAATCTTATGGGCTTTTTTTCGGTGTAGAATTTTATAAGCATGAACCTGCTCGTTCCACGCAGAAATATACGTACATCGGAAAGTTTAAAGAATTCTCTAGTAAAATTCATAACATAGCAAGAAAAAAACGAAAGTAATTATAGAAAGATTTGTTTCCCTTTTAATTAAAGCCTCACTGCCACTTTATCAAAATGAAATGAAAAATTGATTTAACTGTGGAATAGTTCACGTTTCTGTTTTTGTTTTCAGTAACGTTGAGAGAATATGCGCACATAGATATTACTACGAAAGCTCTTTGAAGCAGCATCTTGCAAAGACTGGAACAGAATGCATTTCATAACATCTACAGAAGACATTTTTTTTTGTCTCATGAAGCAGTCATTCTCTCCTCTGCTCGTTCATTCATGCTCAAAAACATGTCTCTTGAATTCGATAGGGAGATGTTTATAAACCTCGTGAGTTAAAACGAAATCAGAAACAATGAATTTCTCAAAAGAGCTCTCGATTCAGTTTGATACGTGGTTTCCATACTGCTTATCGTCGACTTCTTTGCCAAATAAGTATTTACTAAAGGAAGATAGCGCGGCCAGTTTTGCGTTTCTGTTGCTTGTAAGTATTTAAGACTGAAAAACAGATTAAACTGACTTGAAAGACAACGATGAACTTACCTTACACGAGCGCACTGTCGCAATAATATATCCAAATTAATTGTATTCTGCCTCTTTTGGCTCAAAGCTGTTTACATAACACGTTGGTGTTTATAGCAGGTACTTTTGGAACTGTTTAAGCGGCAATTAATATCTTTCCAAAATGATTCAATAGAAATGCTGTCGCTACCGTCTGCGAAAAAAGCTGTTTAGGAACAAGTAAACAAACTAGAGAGACAAAGAAAAATGGAGGAGTAACTTATCAACAATTATTTTTAGATCGTATAAGAAATTTTGGTTTTTATTGTACAAAAATGACATGTGACCTTAATTTGTTTTGGGCCTAAAACTTCCCTTCGCACCCACGCACCACGCACCACCCCCCACCCTCACCAAACGGAAAAGGAATTAAAAAACGAACAAACTTGGATGTCGCTCGCAATCTTTTCATGCGTAACTGATTTTTATCCTTCTCTCAATTTCGTGACGAGAAAATTGTCGCAAACGCGCGAGTCTCGTGCACAACATGGAACTTAATTGGCTTCCTAGGGTACTATTCCCGGGACCGAAAATTGAATACGTTCTTTTAACAAAAGCGTTTGGTATTGAATAAATTAAGGCTGTTTTAGTTATTTGATGGCGATAAGGTCGTCATCTAACCTATGTATATTGTAAATTTGTACACACATGCTAATTGTCTTAACAAAACAGAGCAGAAGAAAGATTTCATTTGCACCAACATGTGGTTCGCTTGGCAGGCACGGAACCCATTTTCAAACAATGTCTTTTCATAGGATTTTTATGCGGTATGTTGAGGAAACGATTTGCGGTTTTGATCACTAAACGTTCCCTATCATTTCACAGTGGCATACTTTCTATTGTTTCTCTGGTTTAAGAGTTACTTGAAGAAAAGAAATCACAAAAAAAAACTTTCTATTTGGAAAAATCAGTACTATTTAAGTCCATAGTTGAAAAACAACAAAGAAAATACATGATTTTTATTCGGGATCGCGGTTCTTTAGTGGCTTAGTACTGATACACGCTTTGCGATGGACAATATCCTAAAGAGCTCAGCCAGGATCCTTTTAAGTGATTAGACGTCACGTTTCAGTGATTAAAAAGCCGCCTACACTTATGCACATTTTTTTTTCGAAAAGTTCCTTCCAATGTTCGTACACAGTTACATACTAACGGGAAAGCATTTAGTTAACTACTACAGGCTTTTGGAAAGGGGACCCTTGGGTCAGATAATTGAGCCTATAAACTAACAGGACTATAATTACTTCTATTGTGAGCATGATCCAATTCTGCGAAGACTCAATAAAGAGGCTCGTGTTATTGCTTGGATACGAAAGACTTTTAAGCCCGAAATAGTCGACATTTTTCATTCTCAATATTTGCTTTTGACGTCTTCTACCGCGTAAATGTCACAGCACGCACCTTGTGCACTGAGGGTATACAAAAGGATTGTACCTCGGGTTCTTGAGTTCGACAGGAACTTCAGAGAAAAAATTAATTTAGACATCTGTTGTTTTTTGTTTCATATGCAAATTGCATCGATTGGAAAAAGGAATATTTTATCCACCAACTCATTTTTAACTTAAAGATTCTATTTCATTCGAGTATTAAGGTCCTCAACAAAGCGAAGAAGTGGATGTGATATTACAGATCGAGTAAAAACCCATGAGCAAATCTTGCATTAAGCAGGACGTTTTTTAAACCTCAGTAGCAAAGTGGGCATGAATTAATCTTGTGAAGAACGCAAATGCATGGGTCATTTAAACGTGTTGAGACTAGCGAATGTAAAGCTAACACAACAAAATACAACGAAACCTGACTTTTATGGTAACAACAACCACAATATGAAAATAATGGCTGGAAATTAAATGCAAAATCTTGTTAGGGAGCGCTCTTTTGTTGCGCAGTCTTGTAGAACTCGATCATTACCCGAATTTTCCATCGATGACTTTAGCAATTAAGTAAAGCCTCGAGAAACGCATTAATACATTTTAAAGACTAATTCTGTATGGTGTCTGCGTAAAAATTATACTTTTCTCCTAACCAACGATATTAAGGACACTGGAACAAGATAAGAAATTCCATACCCTTGATGAAAACCATTTTAAGATCAATTCACAGACACTATTTATTCTGTTCTACAAATAATCTGCACACTTTTTATAAAAGCAAAAACCAAACCCACATTGTCATTTAGACACTAAACGTCAACGTCAACTGAATCTGTCCAAATTACTTTACGTCGACAATAACCTTATGCTGTCGCAGTATTATATTCCTTTGAACTCTTGTAAGAGGTTAAAAATTCGAGAAACGCAATGGTATTATATCGACCGTCGCTAAATCGAGTGGCCTCGGCGACGCTCGTAGAACACGCTAGAGATCTTTTGTCTTCTGGAAGAAAGCGTGTAAAGCTATACGGGAGCCGAATAAGACTTTGGTATATTTACAACCTGCAAACTTCTAATGTTCGATTATCGTTTCAATTTTGAATCTCGCATTCCTGGAAAAATAAGACTGTGTACATGCAACAGTTTCGAAGTAGTTGACCCCGATTTAGGGAACATAAAACTCCTGGAACAGTCCGATTTTAAATATTCTTAATCAAAAATTAAATCGAACGGTTTGTGAGGCGGGAATATAGCAATTGCGAAAGACTGAAATACGAGAATTTCCTTATGATCTGTCAAGAGAAAAAGAACTACTCAGAGAAATATATCGTCGACGACTCTGTAATTTCAGGAAAGCTAAACGTTGTACTCACCCCTTGTAATCTTGTCAAAAATAAATACCAGTCGAGAATCTCGTTGATAGAGGCTCTGATCGTACGATCCAAACTCGCGAAACGCTGTTATGAGGGTAAAAAAGACGAATTGATTCACGACGATTTTGTAATGGTTTGACTCGGCACCTCGGACCGAGTTTCAAAATGCACTAGCCGAGTGCATTCAAAACAAGAATCGCCCACGAAATATATTCAAACGACGAAAGAAATGTAAATTGCTTTTCTTCAGAGCTAATCAAAACACTCTTTTGTCGTCAAAACGTGTCACGTCGAGAGCACCTGATTGGTTGATCCCAAGAGGTCAAAACAAGTTGGCTGATTGAAGAGTGCGAACGATTTCGCGCTGTTGTAATGTTTTTGTTGCGTAATCTTATTTTTCTGCCGCAAGGTTTTATTTTTTTAGTGGAATATTATCCTTTTGTTGCGATTTCTGTTCAAGACATGATCAAAGCAAGTTCAACTGGTTAACAGAAATGTAAGAAAAGTGAAAATAATTTTATGTATCGCTATTTTCTCTTTTGAAAATTCACTTGTCGGAAATAAACCCTTTGAAAACGACACTGATCCTTGTTTTTGAGCGTTACATTCATTGCTTGAATAGTTTTCAGGTCACGAGACTCTCACATTCGAGACCGTTTAAGAGCTTTTTCACACGATACAGATAAGATACCCTGCAAAACAATGAACACTAAACACTTTAAATTGTACTGATTACAATTATTGAAGGTAATTTCTGCGATAACAGAACGATTAGTCCATCCATATACAGAATGTTCCGGAGTGGGATGGAGCCTTAACATATCAACAGTGCCATGAAGGGCTGGTTTTCGTCTTCAATATTTTTTATTTCCCTCAAGGAAACGCAAAATTTGATCCCTCAACCTGTCAACAGGTACAAGAAACGTAAATTCTAGAAATGGTTCTGTTGCATTTGACGCGAAAACAAGAGTGCGTAATGCGTAACCACTTTCGAGGGACGAAAATTATCATGCAATGGAGAGTGATTCCAGAGCCTCAGCAATCATCGTACTCCGCTCTGGAAAAAACTTAGAGGATCCGGGCAAAATGATGGAAGAAATTTACA